AATTAGCCGAAACTCAAACAAATCATAGCTTCATATTTAATGCTAACTCTTATACCTACGTTGCCGTAGACTCGTGTTCTAAGTCTGTGATCGACAAATTTGTGTAGATTAATGACGGTTTGAATAATTTAGTACTTCAAATAAAAATTATGGGAATATAGTTAAAACGACAATATATTTTTTCAATGTCAACACATAAGATGAACGAAACTACTTACGAAAAAGATTTTAAGCATCCAATTGCCGCGCACGCAATCCAACGTGAAAAAACTGCTGCTGGGCAGCACCAGCCAACCGTAAGGCATCCCTCGGGCGGTCATAATTCGCTTAGAATTTTTTAACGGAGATCACATCTGCTAGAAAGTTGGCTGGTGCACATCAAAGGAACTTTGTTCTCCTGCACGCTAACCCTGCATGAAAAAATCCTTCGCCCTTATTACATGTCATTACAACGTTAGCTGTCGTGTGTTCGGTGTAATTTGTACAATCCTCATGATCAAATTCGATGTATAAATTATTTGTCTGCATTTCATTAACTCGACTCAGTGACTTGCCTAATAATAACTCATTGAATTATTTTGTTGATGATGCATAATGCTGAAGTCAGCGGTTTGAACTGAGACTAATATTTAATTTCTTCATATAAACGTTGGGCATTTAGTTACACAGAATAGGAATTATTCCAATACATTTTATAAATCCATCTTTATTCGAATTATCGCTCAATTTCTAAATCAGCACCAAAAATTCTGAAATTAGGCTACTCAATATTATTATCAACAAAAGATTTTCTGCGCGTCAGATAAAAATTGGTCTGGTTTACGTAAAATTATAATTTAGTTATGCCATCCTCAAACAATTTAGAAAATCCTAAATTTTACGTTTTTTCTGTCGCTTCCGCCAATATGAGGATGAAAGAGGTCGCCTATATATGGTTCTTTTACTACCGGGCATTTCATTCTGCGCCAAAATTTCACGGGAGTTTCTGAAGAAAATTTTCCTTTCTGCTAGGCACAGCGCAGCGATGATTTCTTGAGTGATACTCTAATTAAATGCGAAGGAGAAAGACATGACGTGAGTTTCTGAATTGTTACTATGGAAAAATCTACCGCTATCGAAATTTCTGATAAACAATACCCGCATTCACATTAATTACTTTCTAGTGCTAACAGCTGCAATTGATCGAAACGTTATAATAACTTCAATATTTCGGGCTCTTCTGGCTTCATAGAATTATTGATGCAACAGTGACCACTTCACGTTGTCTTTTTCAGTTCTCATATTTTAACAGTAAACCCCTAACTATATGAATAAATTGATATTGGTGCTTGGGAAAAAGATGATCTGCGTGCAAAAATCATAGTTTGTTTTTAAATAGTTCTAGTTGTTCTAGTACTAGTAGTTCTAGTTATAGTAAAATTTATAGTTACGGTAAAATTTCTAGTGAAGCTACTATTGGAATTTAAATTTTAGAAATCAGTCTCGTTAAATGCCGGCTGAGTACCCGCCTCGAGCCGTTTAGTTTAGCTTGTCTACTAGGGAATGCAATAACTGAACGGTAGAAATGGCATTGGCTTTACCGAACAGTTAAATTGGCAAGGCACGGAGAAAGCTACGAGTGACACTCGTAAAAGCTCGATGTTAGAGTCGCCGTGCAGCCGATAAAAAATGTTGAGTACTTCGGTTGACGCAAAATTTTTATCTCCTTGTGCATATATAATCTATCTTGTGAGAGGGTACTACATGTCAGATGAGTTTTAAGAATGTTCCGACATAGTGAAGCAAAAACATTTTCTGCTGAATAACATTAACTGTAAGTTGATTCACATGCTACTAGCTGCATTGCACAGTCATATTAAGAAATTATTGATGCTAATTTCAAATTAACTGGATGAATTACCGCCTAAATTCTTTTTCTCTTATTGATCATTAAGAATCCTCAATGAAAATAACATTGTTGGCATAACGTGCACCATAATTAGTGGATCTCGATGTTTCAAAGTCAGGGGTGCACGTAAGTTTTCTTCACTTCTGATTCAAAGTCAAACATATAAAATTAGCGTTTTCAATTTTGCGAGAAATACCATTAGACTAATTTTTATAAGGAAGCATAAATGGATATTCTTAAAATAGTTGATATGATAGTGCAAACAATTCGTGATATAGCAACGAGCTGCTGCTGCGCAGTGCATCAGTAAATCAGTTATTGGCGGATTACTATAATACGATACAATAAAAGTGCAATGCTGTTGCTAATATTATTAATAATAATAACAATATTATTATTTTTATTATTATTAAATTAATCAGTTCATATTAATTTATGTAAGGTATGGCAATTTATTTGGCGACAGGCTAAATTGGGCTTATTCTTTTACGTCGACATGTACTATACGAGAATGCTATACTATCCTACACTGTGCTATACTTTACAAATTTTATTAAATTAATAGCAAAATACGTTACTAATTTTAGTGCAGGATATCTAGGATATTTAGAAGCATTGAAGGTCGTCTAGCTGGCGGTGCACTCCGATTAAAGCTTCCGGTCGTGGGAATCCACACTGCGACTCTTCAGAAGGAATATTTACCCACGGAGTAACTCGAGGAATGACCAAGGAAAAATTACTTTAAGGAATTTTCAGTAGTATCAAACAGTAGATCCTGCTTAGCCAAAATTATGACAGAGATTACAGTATATCCAACTCTGTAATGATTTCAATTAATATTTCTATAGATCCAACCTTATCACAATTCTGATCGCGAATACAGTAGATCAAACTTGATAACAATTCTGCACATGCAGTCTTGTGGTGCTGTTGCCGTAGTGTGAATCGCAGTCGTTCAAGCCACTTGCAAGACTTTTAGTTGACCAAAATCAACAATATTTTTTCGATATTTATCTCTTTTTCCTACCTGACAACCTGACCAGAAAAGAACATTTTTTTCTTTTTTTTTATTTTTTATCGTGTGCATCTTTGAACTGATATTATTAGCTAAATTATTAGGATTTTAAAATCTAATCTATTTTTAATTACCAGATACTTCGTTTAATAATTTATTTGGACTTTACCCACGTGAAATTACTGCCACACCAGTAATGATGATGTAAAATTGCTTTAACGCCAGTAATGATGTACCAAAATCTTCAAATAATTCATCAGCCTTCTTATAAGCCGACTCGTACATTTCAAGTCGCCATTTACCTAAAATAAAGATACAATTCTTCCGAATTTCTTTCTTTCCTATTTTACATTTTAAGACGATATAATACCCGATATATGATGCACTATCTATGATGCCCGATGTATGATAGCCGATGTATGATGCCCGATGTATGATACCCGATGTATGATGCCCGATGTATGATACCCGATGCATGATTCCCGATGTATGATGCCCGATGTATGATGCCCGATGTATGATGCCCGATGTATGATGCCCGATGTATGATACCCGATGCATGATTCCCGATGTATGATGCCCGATGTATGATGCCCGATGTATGATGCACTATCTATGATGCCCGATGTATGATAGCCGATGTATGATGCCCGATATATGATGCAAAAGTCGCCATTTACCTAAAATAAAGATACAATTCTTCCGAATTTCTTTCTTTCCTATTTTACATTTTAAGACGATATAATACCCGATGTATGATACCCGATATATGATGCACTATCTATGATGCCCGATGTATGATGCCCGATGTATGATGCCCGATGTATGATACCCGATGTATGATACCCGATGTATGATACCCGATGTATGATACCCGATGTATGATACCCGATGTATGATACCGGTAGCATGTTTTACGGCTGTCATGGTCACGGCAAATCTTTCTTTGAAGTTCCGCGCGGATGCAAAAGCGCGCTCTCTTGTTATGCGCGGCGCACGAGATAATGTCTTGTGCGCGACAGGCGAGTATGACTCAGACGACGTATCGTTAGTGAGACGAATCCTGTAATTCTTTTTGTACTTTCTAGTGGAGACGAATTAAATATTTTGAATATTTAATTCGTATTTTAAATATTTTGTAACGAATAATAATATTTTTGAACAATATTTAATAACGAAAAATTATCAAGTGAGAATTGTACTAATCATCCTACCTTGCCAAATTCCAGAGTTGTATCGAAAACTGTATTCCCTTCGGAGACACGTAAAATATTCTCGTGGTCCTGGGACGCTTACTAACTAAATTGAGTTAGCAAACTCACGAGTCAGGGATCCTGATGTGTAAAGCTATATTAATACCTGTGTCAGTTTTATCCATGCTCCACTAAAAGTGTGTTTGTGGCGTCGGTAAATTGTTGTGTACACTTGTCTTCCTTCATGAACCTGGTTGCCAATAACGAACCCTAGTATATTGTGGTTCGGACCGTCCTTCTAATCATGTACGAACTGTTAGGAAAGAAATTATTACATATATATTAGGACATCGAAAGTTTGCAAAAATGATTATCGCATCAAATTCAATCAATTTCGACACTTTTCGCAGCACTTATAAAGTGAAAATTGAATGGAATATAAGTATGAAAATGAAATGCGTCGAATTAAATGCAATGGACTGTATAGTATGATTTTGTGGGCAATCGGTTCGAGCGTATCTCGCTGTACTTCCAGTATCGAATAGAAGTGAATGGAATATATTAAATGATTTTGTAGGCAGTCACCTTATTGGAATGGCTTTGTAGACAGTCATTTGATTGGAATGGTTTTGTAGGCAGTCATTTTATTGGAATGATATTATAGGCATGTCATTCCATAGGAATGGTTTTATAGGCAGCCATTTTATTGGAATAGTTTTGTAGGCAGTCACATTATTGGAATGGTTTCTTAGGCAGTCATTTTATTGGAATGGTTTCAACACTTTTATTTTTATTATTGGAATGATTTTGTAGGCAGTCATTTTATTGGAACGGTTTTGTGAGCAGTCATTTTATTGGAATGGTTTTAAAGGTAGTCATTTCGTTGGAATGTTTTTGTTTGCAGTCAGTTCGAGCGGATCTCGCTGTACTGTCAGTACTTCACGGATCTCATCCCGCTGTCGTTCGTGCTGGGTTTCTACGTGAGCATCGTCGTGCAGCGCTGGTGGGCGCAGTGGGAGACATTACCCTGGCCTGACACGCTCGCCCTCTTTGTCTCCACCACCGTCACTGGAAACGTGAGACCAACCAATATATAATTTATATACTTCTTATACATAACGCATGTAATTATGTATAATTTATATATTTCTTATATAACTTATATACTACTGAAGTTACTTACTTATAAAACTGTTGGCGATTTTAATACATCGTTAAAAATATTTTTCTTATAACTTAATGATAATTTTTCCATTATGTTCAGAAAACAAGAACAGTTCTTATATTATATACTAAATGATGAATGAGACTGCATTCTTGTTTATTTACGTCATGATCAGTTATTCTTATAATTGAATAAATTGTTATAATTCGATTTACATACATCGTTTATTGTTGAAATTAAGTTCTGTCGAATCAGGATACTTCTATTGTTATTGCAGTATGGAAAACACACAAAAATTAAAAAAAAAATTATTAGTCACAAAAAATTATTAGTCACATAATCGAACAAGTTAGCAGCCAAATATTTCATTTTAAATCGAAATTCAAATTATATATTTGTCGACAGGACAACCGCGCGCGCATGATGCGGCGAGCTATCCTGCGCTACGCCAACCTAGCCATGGTCCTAACCTTCGCTATGGTGTCGCCGTGTGTTAAGAAGCGCTTCCCTACCCTAGACCACATCGAAGAGGCTGGTGAGCAAAGCTCGATAGTAAGTTTGTGACACCAAAACGTACTTTATTCCAAAAAATGACTGTTTAGTTCAATACTTTCGATGATGTTGTAGTCTTACGTTGTGAGGTAAGTTCATCAAGTTTTTAAATTTACCGGTCTTGTTCAACGCGCATTCGAGGTTTGTTGATGTCGCTGCATTTGTTGTTGCAGGTTTGATGACCGCCAACGAGCGCAAGATTTACTCTTCGATGCGTGATCGTACAAGTCACCCGATCTACTGGATGCCGCTGGCCTGGGCTGGAGCTTTGGTATCGCGCGCGCGAAAAGAGAACAAAATTAAAGACGACTTCGCTGTGAAGACAATCATCGATGAGATCACGCGAGTCAGAGGTCTGTGCGGCTCACTTCTGGGGTACGACTGGATCAGCATCCCTCTTGTCTACACGCAGGTAACCGCCGTTCAAAATCTCCATGCTGCAACATAACTAAAATCTCCATGCTACACCATAACTAAAATCTCCATGCTACACCAAAACAAAAATCTCCATGCTACAACATAACAAAATTTGGGGGACTGTCCCAGCTTATACTCAGTAGCCGCATAGCTGGTCTAAATTTTCCACCAAGAAATTGACGTTGGATTATAACACGTATAATAATTGAAGCAAATGCTGGAAATGATCGGAAAAATTTATTATGGACAAATTGTCCCTGTAAAATCTCTGTGTCAAAATGTATTTAATACTCTCTTGTGATCATTAAAATTGTCGTTATTCCTATTTTGATTGTTATTCAACTCCTCGTATTCTCGAGCAGGTTGTTACCCTGGCAGTGTACACTTTCTTCCTCTCCACGCTTATGGGACGTCAGTTCCTAGACCCTGATAAAGGCTATAAGAACAACTCAATAGACTTTTACCTGCCAGTATTTACGTACCTGCAGTTCTTCTTCTACATGGGGTGGCTTAAAGTAGCGGAGTCTCTCGTCAATCCCTTCGGCGAAGATGATGATGACTTTGAGATCAACTGGCTAGTGGACCGCAACTTGCAGGTAAGCAGCTCATGTCGTAGCGAAACATCTTTTATTATTACAATATTTTTGTGTGATGTATACATAATTTAGAAACTTTACTCCGGAATTAAGGGTTTGATCATGAATTAACAACCTTTTTCGGCGCACGCTCAAGGTGTGACGTAGTACACTGTAGGTTTCGTATTGTCTATGTTGTGTTAAGCATCATACCTAGTCGTAGACGAGTGCACCGAGCTATAAGCAATAATGTAATAACAGTAATATATTCATGTTGTGCCAGGTATCGTACCTGATCGTGGACGAAACTTGAAACCCAGCCTTATCACCTTATCGTACATGCCAGGTATCATACTTGATCGTGGACGAAACTTGAAATCCAGCAGTATGACCTTATCGTCCATGTCAGGTATCATACCTGATCGTTGACGATACCTATATTTATTTTATTTTATTTGCCCTTATCGTCCATGTCAGGTATCGTACCTGATCGTAGACGAACCTTATCGTCCATGTCAGGTATCGTACCTGATCGTGGACGTTACCTATATTTATTTTATTTGACCTTATCGTACATGTCAGGTATCGTACCTGATCGTAGACGAGATGCACAACGAGCACCCGGAGCTGATCCAGGACATGTACTGGGACGAGGTGGTGCCTCAGGAGCTGCCCTACACCGTCGCCTCTCAGGACTTCAAGCCCACTGAGCCTCACCTCGGCTCCACCGCAAACATCGAAGTCACCCAGCAGGACATGGAGCTTCTGCCTGTCGTCGAGGAGAACGAAGAGGTACGTTTTGATGGTTGATTGTTTATTTAGGCTTTCGGTAGAAATTTTGTTGTTGAATGTGTCCAATAAAAGGACGAAAAGCTACTTTTTTGCAGGCTATTTTTTATTTATTATTATTATTTTGTATAAAATTTTGTTGCTAAAGGCACCCGGTAAAGGAATATAGAACTACATTTTTACAGATTCATAACATTGCGTTTTTTGCTCAGCATTTTTTTCTTTTGGTGAGCATGTCCATAAGGGCGAGAAGAGAAATTTTTTTTGCTGATTGATTCTGTTCTAATTTTTTTTCTTTCGGCGTATACACTGAAAAAACTAAGGGGTTTGTACCTAATGTCAAAATTTTAAGCACTCGGTATGCTAGGTATTTTACGATAATGGGAGTGCAATAGATGAATTTTGCATTGTTTTGTGGGTGAAAGAAAATGAAATAGTACAGCGTCTCGAATAAGATCGTGCTTCTAGTTCAGAGCTTACTAATTTCAAAGGTGCTTTGATGATTAAAATTCAATTTAATAAGCCTCATGATGTTCATTTGTTGTTGTAAATATAGTTACATACACAAAATTTGCATAAAGTAGCAAATTTAGCATCTCATGTCAGAATGAACTCGCTTGAATTATTCAATTGAGTATAAATTCATTGAAACTTTTTTCTTGATGTGGCATACCGATAAGGTAGAACTTTTTATGTGAAAAAACTCGTGAAAATATAATAGATATTTCATTTTAACTTTGAAATATTACAGGACGAAGAAGGCGGACTTCGCCGTGCTAATTCCAAGATGTCGAACGCTTCAAGCTTCAATCTCGCCCCCATCAACTCAGTCATCAACTTCATCGCCCACAAGTTGAAGGGCAGCAATCCATCATCTCTGGATCGCGGCTCTCCAGCAGGTCAATTTATTTCCTTAACCTATTTTTAATGAATATTTATAATAATTAATGATGATTAGGCCATGTTGATTCGCTAGTTCCTAGCTACCCAACCACCTTGCAGATTTTGAACAGAATTTTTACAACTAATTACGGGTCTCGAACCATCAACTCGGAGATTTTAACCACTTGACCGACGCGAGCTAAACGTCATTATTGTCCCGTTCCGAAAATCTGGAATTCATTCCTATTCCTAGATAGAAATACAAGTTTTTTCGCAGTCAATGCATAATTTTAACGTCAGCATTTTTTATTCAGTGACAGTCAGAAAATTCAATTTATTTCATATAATTAGTTATTTTAATGGGAAATTTACAAATTTTCTCGTAAATTTTCTCGATTTCGAAGTTGGGTGCCTGCAATTTCATTTTACAATTAAAGACTTTTACGAAATATTGAAGTTCTTGATAGTTCGGTTCAGGTAGCCGATATCAGTGCAGCTTGCGTATTTGAAGCTTATGCTTCTTAGGTAACTCATCAAGAGCTTTATTCAACAAGAATGCAACATCCTGGAACAAAAAAACACTACTATAAAACAGGAAAAACGGCAAGGTAATGGGAATATATTCATATGTGATAGTCTTACACATAAAGAAACTATTTACTGAATACTTTTTTTATTCCCATTGTCATTGGTTTATGGGAAGAAATGGAACGATTAAACTGTCGAGTGCAACTTACAAGGAGAACAATAGTACTATGTCTTGAACGTACAAGAGCCGAGTCAATGCTAACAATGGTCACTAGTTCTAGAGCGAAGTAACTTACTAGTAGAAACTATAGTACGGAATACTAGGTACATATGGGCGCTACAACAGAAATTTCACAACATTGATAATGATTATTCATTGGTAATAAAAAATGCACAAACTGTTATTCTAGCGCTTGCTGCCATTACTAGCGTTTCATTATTTACTGTTGAAAAACTGCTTAAAACTGTTGACTGTAACTTGATCTTCTGTTGAACAGAAAGTGTTTCGTCACTCAACAGGAACGTGCTACATTTGCCGGGAGATCAGGTTAGTTCGTAATTTTATGTTCTCCGTAGTTGAAAGGTCGTTGCTTCTGAATAGTTGGTTTTTATATAGATTTTGAATTCCAAATCGCTTGAAACTACTAACACTATTATTATTATTACTAATAATAATGTTAATCTCTTTTTCATTTTATAATAATCTTCAACGAATATATATTAGTTTCTTTAAAGTAATTAGATTTAAAACTTTTTCATCTGATAATGTGGACCGAAAAACGTCCGACGAGTAATATTTAAGTTAGAGTAGAAGTTTTATGCAGGACCTTGAATTTGATAACTTGTTGATTAATCAAGGTTCGTCATTAATCAAGGTGTTGTTGAATCAAGGTTCGTCGGTATGAAGCCCCCTTTCGATGCTAATCTCTAGATAAAAATATCTAAAATCTAAAATTTCTTCACGCATTACTTTATAATCAATTATTTTATTTAATTCATAACATGGCCTTTTCTGGAATTCTGAAATTCCATTCCCGAATTTTTCTCTCACAGACGAGCCAGCAGCTCAGCTTCACCGCAGGTTCAGACCACAGCGTAGACCCCACGGGGGGCGGACGTCGCAAGTCAGGCGACACAGTCCACTTTTACCCCCACGCGGGGGCCTCGGGCACCCGCCTGGCCGATGGCCACCAACATGGCGGCGACCAGCCCAACCAAGGTGCGTTGGTGTCGTATTCATTATATTATACATGATAAATATACAGGATATATGCAGGACTCGTCGTATATACAGGAAAATGAACGAGTCATATTGTCAAAATAGTGACACACTTTCTTACAGCACCAAACAGAGCGGATGTAGCTTGATTATACGAGCCTCATTTTACTGAGCAAAACTGGGTCAGGATAACCACACATGGCAAAAAGTGCATTGATTTACGACCAATTCTCACTCATTCCTATAACTGTGCTATCAAAAAAAGTAAGAGTTCGTAACGCCCTCAGCCAATCACTGACGTCTTTTCAAACTAAACCCACCAATCGTAGAAGAGAATTCGGCCGGCTACGTTAACTTGAGCTGCTACGCGCACAACTGGATATTCACTGCTGCTCCATTATTTTTATTAACTTATCGATTAATTAATAATTCATGTTTTCCGCAGCCCCATAAGTTTTATCAAATGATTACTCATTTATTAATTGACAGTAATTACTTATTTATTATGTACTCGTTAGAAATTACTCTTTTATTACAGTAATTACTCATTAGATACAGTGATTACTTATTTATTAATTGACACAGACCCGGGCACCCCCGGGACCCCAGGGTCGGGACCCTCTAACCCCATGGCGGGTCTGCCCCAGCGACCCTCGGTCACGACCCTCAAAGTCTTCACTAAAAGTCTGCAAGGGAAGAATGCGAGCAGGAGGAGCTTCAATAGAAGACTGTCCAGGCAGACCAGCAAAACAGACCCCGACGCCGGTCTGCACAAGACTCGGGACGAGGCGACATCTGACGGTGGGTTGACGATGATTTTTTTTACTGCCGTTATTAATGATTTTTAGTGCAGTGGTGATCATTATATAATGATATATAATGATTATAATAATTATAATATTAATCATTATTAATCATTACTCAATTACTGCCGTTATTGATGATTTTTAGTGCAGTGGTGATCATTATATAATGATATATAATGTTAATAGTGATATATAATGATTATAATAATTATTATAATAATCATATTTAATCATTAATCCATTACTACAGTAATTGATGATTTTTAGTGCAGTGGTGATTGGAACTATTGAAGTAATCAAGGATATATTGTATGTAGTTTAAATCATATATTTTTGTGCAAGGAATGATTTATAGTCTGCAGTGATGAGTAATTTCTTTTTATAAATTCAAAATGAAATTTCGATATCAACACGAATAAATTTGTAGAATTTTAGGTTTAAACTGTGGAACCATGCGCAGATAATAATTTAATTATTAGGTAATATTTGATTATTACATACGGGTCTATTATAATTATAATTATATTATTAATTGTTATCTATTAATTATATTATTAAAGATGGTCAGGACGAGCGCCGTCGGCCATCCACTGACGCTGCCTGCGTCGACTCGCCTGAGGTGAGGACATTAGATTTCCGCCATTAGTAAAAATTTAAAATAATAAATATATAATAAATATAGGAGTGAAATTTTCTGAAGTAATTCAATAATTATTCACCGAAGAAGCGGTGAACTTGTAATGAGCTTAATTGTCGGAATATTGTAAACCCGAGAATCCATGTACGATCCTTACAATTTTTGCGCACAGCGCTTGCATTCCTTTTCCTTTAGTTATTATAACAGTAACTAATGCCCCATATAATTACTAATAACCGCCATTATACTAGGTTATTATACTATTCATTTAGCTCCAATTAGTTCATTTTTATCTATTTTTATATATACGTTTCATTTAGCTCCTTCTTTGTTTCCTCTGCCAATCGCGCAATATTTTATGAAAGCGATAACTTGACATCGTTTTTTAGATATCATCTTTAACCCTCTACCGCCTGACATGAGTAGTCGGAGCAATATATTGGCACACAAGCCTACCCAAAAAGGAGACGTTCTAGTGAGCGTAAAGCGTAAAATGACTTGCACTTATACTTGCCGCCACGTACGACTATAAAATGTTCTCTGTTGCGTACAAACGTCCACCTGTTGCTAAACTCAATAGTTTACGTGTAATTTTACTTAAAAGTCATGTTCCCGGAGAGTTACTTATGGCGGTAGAGGGAGTTACATACGACGGTTGAAGTAAGAGTATTTAATTAATTATTTAAACTATTTGTATTTGATATTTCCAACCTGTATCCATTGAACCTTGGACTGCTCGTCAAAGCCTAAAAATAATTGAGCATTTCATGTCCCTAGCAATAATATGAAATGACAAAATACTCGTTAATTTCTGTCCCCAACATTCGGTTCATTTGCTGTCTTCTTAAATAAAAAAATGTAAAAAAATTCACCCGTCAACATTGTCGTAAATAATGTGTGTAATGAAAGCACTCAGTCGCGACATGTAATGTATTCATGTAATCATTACAATGTAATCATTACATGTATGTAATGATGTATGATGTAAAATCATTACATGTATGTAATGATTACATTACATGTAATCATTACATTAATGTGTATTCATGTAATCACGCTTTAATGATTTCATGAATTATTGCCAATAAAAACCTAGTCATTTCACTTGCACAATTTCACTCACATGAGGGAACACATAGTGAAATTTGATGGAAGTTGTTCGAAGGTTTATGATATTAAATCCTCTTTTCCATGAACTGTGCTATCTTGAATTGTTTTGAAGGATTGGATACTTTCATTTCAAGGAAAATAACTAATTTAAATATTTTCTGTGAAATTGTTTTGCTTTCGAGTGTTGGACGAACATTTAAGTCTTTTATATATTAGTCATAAAACTTTCGCTTTACATCACATTTGCGTTGATGATACTTGGAAAAATTCCAGGTCGTAATTTTTATTATTTTTGATTAATAGGGACGTAATATTTATTACATTTTCATTTAGTTTCAACGCATGTCATTTTTTTTTATTTCGGATGCGTAGACTTCTTACTGACAGTAACGCTTTTTGCTTGCAGCCTTCATCTCCTGCTCCTGCATCTCCTCAGGACCCAACCGGTTCGTTCGCCATTAATAATCTGAAACATTAATAATGTGAAGCATTAATAATGTGAAGCATTAATAATGTGAAACATTAATAATCTGAAACGTTGAATCAAGTAAAAATTAGATCAGTCTGTCACTCACTGCAGTGAGTGGCAGAGAGAGCATTTTCTCGTCCGTCTGTGACGTGAAGTCACGGACGGACGGACATGACGAGCACAATAGCGCCTTTTTTACATAAATGAGAAAATGCGCTACAAATGTGTACTGCGTGCCAGCAAAAATATGCATCTACATTTTCTAGGATTCCATGATAGTACATAGTAACGAGACATGTAAAAGCATAGAATAAGAATCAAAAAGTCTTTATTGAAAAGGTTTTGGAGTCCAACTCCATCGCCAATTCGCAGATGGATGGAGCTGGACTGCGAAATGTTTCCGTCATATAGAAAGGGTTTGACAAAAAAGGGGAAACAGCTGACATTTTAATTTTTGAACATGCTATAAACTATGAAAACTTGACATATTTTTATCTTTTATTGATTATTGTTGTTGCTAATTGATATTTTACCCTCTGTCCTATATATTTTTGGTAATTTTTCATGTCTAAAACCTAACTTATAACCTTTTGAAGGGGGGATCTGTTATGATCTGGGATGGAAATCTGGCGGACCAATGATTTCTCTTCATGGAAGAATGAATAACCGTAAATATTTAGGAATTTACAAGGACCGTGTCATCCAATTGTTCAAGCATTGTTTCCGGAGGGGAACGCCATCTTTCAAGATCATATCATAGGGATGTCGGCGCTGAAGAATAGGCCTGATGTGGCCTGTCGTCGATTTTTTTTTTTTTTTTTATTGAAGAAATTTGATTAGCTGTGATCGATATAACAGTAGAAGGAATTATTTTTTTTTTTTTTGATAGAACGCCCCATTTAAAAAAAGTTAAACTAGTTTACCTACGAAGCAATTTTTTTATTGAAGAAAAGTGGTTACCCCGATGGCTCGAGGAAAAGCTCCACATTGAATTAAAAAAAAAATTATATATACGATCAAACATGCATATTCATACATATACATAGACACACACATACATTGGCATATATATGTGATAAGGCATTCGATTCATAAGGCATTCTTGCACTTTCCGTTACTTGTTCACATGAGATCTAAAAACAGGTCATTTGGCCGGATCTTTTCAAAACTGGCGTTAGTTTGAAATAACTAATAAATTTGATTCAGGTTCGATATGGTGCAATGCATTTAAAGTCTGAACATATATTTCTCCATAGCTTCATCTAGTCTGTTCTTGGTCGCGGTTATACTTGGAGCGTCAAAGATGTAATCAGGGAGGCTGTTCCACATGTCGGTGATTCGAAGCGAGAAGAAATGTTGTCGCGTGGATGAGTTGCAACACAGTTTTTTTTGTTTATACGTTAGCCGTGGCCCCTGGTGTTGGTTCTTGTTTCAAACTCTAGTAGTCCATCTGGAACCTTGTATAAACCATGAGTAAACTTGTACACTTCAATGAGGTCACCACGCCAACTTTGATAATATATTATAGAGGCTTGGAAGCTTCATAATCTCTAATATTTCTTCGTAAGACTTGCTCTTCAAGCCTGGAATCATCCTTGTTGCACGTCTCTCAACAGAGTACTGAATTTTTGTCCTTTTCAAGTTTCGGTGACCACACGGCGTTTCCAAACTCTAGATTCGGGCGCACGACAGCGACAAAAAACAGCTCCATCGTTTCTGCATCTAGGAACTCGTAATGACGTCTGATTAGTCCAAGAAGTTCATTGGATTTATTAGCTTTCGTCTCAATATTCCTAGAAAATTTCAGCTTCTTGTCGACATAAACTCCCAAATGTTTTTCCATACTAGACTTTTCAATACAATTCCAAGTTCATACCGTGGTGAAGTACTTTACACTAGTCGGCATTAAAACGCAACATCCACGTATCAGCCCAGCTAACTAACTATCAAGATCCTCTTTGCAATTGCACTTTATTTGACACATCCTTCACTGTAATACAAACTTTTTCGTCATCGACATACTTAGAGTACACGCTTGACACTACTTCTGGCAGATCGCCGCCATCGTCTTTAAAAGAGCTGGAAGGAGTTATACGCGAAGAATGGGTTAATATATTCCTTTGGCAACAATTCACAATTTGTATGAATCAATAACTCGGACATTGTGGCTGTAATTGCCGCATAAGGTGGACTTACAATATGCTAAAATATATTTTGTGGATTTCTCAGGTGTTTCCCTTATTTTGTCTAACCTCCCCTGTATGGTGAATTTTTGTTAATTTCGCATTTAGTAGAGCCGTTCTCAGCAAGGTAGATTGGAAAGTTATTCACTTTTTTTCTCGGTTCACGAATCATTTTCCTTATTATCTGTCCACATATGCGTGCATACTTGAATTTTTATCATTTTTAGCTTCTGAAATTATAATTTTTTTCTAGAGGAGCAAACTAAGCGATGGAGCGGAGGCAGCCGCGGCAGCGGCAGCGGCGAGACTACTCACCCTCCAGGGTGAGTTGCTATTTTCTTAGAAATTTTTTCTCGACAAATTTTCATTAATTTTAAAGAAAAAATTCAGAATAATTCATTTAAGTCATTAAGTTTAGAGATAAAGATCAAAGTCAAAAAAGTCTTTCCAATGAAGAAGAAACCTTATCAGTAGTTCCTACTTCATCCTTATAACCTCAAGTTCTTAGGAATTAAAAAGGAACCAACAGTGCGCCGTTCTAGCCTCTTGATTCTAAATTAATTGTCGAGTGAAATTTGGATCAAATCCGCTCAAGAAAATATTTTAATTGGAATTATTAGCTTGTTTAATTAACATTGAAATATTCATACTCTTTGGAATCTATTAATTAATTATCATTAATCCATTACCAAGATGGTTAATGCAAAGTAATACCTAGCACGGACTTACAAACTGATAAAAAGATACCTATTCAACATCGAAAGAATATTATTCGTGAAAAGGAAACGGAAATTCGAGTTGTATTGGAACCTAAGGAATACTTTACTCAAAAGAATCCAGATAAAAGTTCATTCATTATACAGGAATTTTCAAGTAACGGCGAAATGCAAGTCAGCTCGGAAGTATCGAGTTCTTAATCGTTTATTTGAAAAGATACAATGACTAGCGTCAAAAAAGCAACAGGGATCAGCCAGCGCGACGGCAGCGAACTTTAAACCTCCCTGAGCGCCGGTATGAGTTGCCTGTTAAGTTACACTGATAAATAAATTCCTGAAGTTGGCATGCTGAAGATTCATCATAAAACTAAAATGGATCAGGGATCCGCTGCTCAATTCTCGCAAATAACTTTTATGGTCACAAGGGAAGGTGGCAGCGCGGTGTACTCTAACAACACTCTTAGTTAAATGATTGGGTGATGTACCAAATGCGGACGTACTTTCTTGGCCAAAGCCAATACCCAGCACTGATTCGCCCTTTTTGCCGGGCACTGATTGAATGGGCCAAATACCAAATGTTGACATAATTTCATGCCCAAAGCAAATACGCAGCACTGATACGCCTTTTTTTGTCGGGCCAAACTGGTTCAGCATGACACGAAAATTGCCAAAATCAGATACGTCTCATTCTTTGAGTGTATGCACGGTCAAGAACAGCGTCTATGGAATCCATTAATTAAGCAACATCTATGGAATCTATACTGAGGTTCTCAATTAAATGATAAATCTACGTTTTTCTCTTGATTTTTTCTATTTTCACGATATTATCCGGGCTTATTGGATCAACCGAGTTTCATTTCTACATTCTCAACCACTATTATCACTGCAAGGAAATATAGATTTCCAAATACAATACTTATTTAGGATATGGAATATATTTCGGTGTCCGGAAATTTTATCACGTTTATGTTTGTTCAAATTCTTTCTGAACTTTGGTTCATTCTTTGGTTGCCTTCGTGATCAACTTTTCCAGTTACCCAACCTTTCCTCATCCTTCCCATTCCTGATAATTTATTATTTTTATATTGAAATACAACTGAATTAAAATTGAATTATTATATTCTCTTGATAATATTGCTACTTTTTCTTCGGTCGCTAAGGCTTCCTCAAGCTTGCTCCATTTATTGTACTCCAAAAGAATATTTTAACACATTTTCTCTCGTTTCCAGTGCTATCATTTATTAATATTACGGCTTTCGTTCCGGTTCCAATAACTAATTAATAATCCTGGCATCGTTCTGGTCGCAATTAACAAATAATATTATATTTATTGTACTAACATCTTTCTGTAATAGCCTATTAATGAAGTTATTGTTTCGATCTCGATAAGATTTAAATTTTGGGTATTTTCTTTTTGTTGTCTTTGTTAAGTTATTATGTTTTTGATAACTTCTTCTAAATGCAGCTACGTTGCGGCTTTCCCCAACAATTTCACTTGAATAGATCGGAACAATTCATCCAAATGTAAAGGCAATAGTCTAGCTGACCAAATTGTTGATTTAAACACGAAATTACTGCAAAGTTCTGAATACTTTAACTAAAAAACGTACACTTATTTTTTTTTACTTCAGAGAAAAATTTGCATTTAATATTTCTACAGAAAACTTGCCAGCAATCAAAAATCTCGAGTGACGCCTCCTGCGACACCACCGTTGGCCATCCCGAGACCTCTGCCTCCCCCGCTACTGCCCCAGCAGGCTGCGCCTCCCCTGCTGCAGCAGCTGCAGCTGCATCCGTTCCATTCCACGCAGAATTCAACATCGTCAACACCTCAGGTGCTCCACATCGATGAGTCGTTTGATGACTCTCCCTCAGCGTCGGCGCGGTCGGGCTCTCCGGCTTTCTCCGGTCCAGCGTCTCCTACGATCGAAAGTCATCGCCCGCCGTCGCCACCAACCGAAGATGAACCTCAAGTGCAGAAAACAGATTACGATCGAGCGTCCAGTCCGTTCAGGTCAACTTCGATCTACAAGCCGCTCACTCCATACAGGTCACGTCAGAGCAAACTCAAGCTCAGAGGTATAGGGCAGTTCCTATCACCGGACCGAGCCACTCCATCCCCGACTCCTGATACTCCGGATTCTCTGCTCGGCGAACCCATGCTAGGACGCAAAACTCCCCTGGCCGAAACTCCTCTGGAGACGAGGCACAAAGCCGATCTCAAAGCCTCTCGGTTTGATTTCCCTGGTGAAATTGGACCAAACCGTGAAGCAGAAACCCCTCTGTTTGACCCCGTAACCTCTGGTCAGCAATTGAATACTCCAGACCCACTAATCTTGGACCAACCAGACGCGCAAACTACCAGTGACCATTTCGTTGATCGCGATACCGTGGCCACGAGCGACAGACTGCAGACGGGTACAGACGAAACGTTGCCCCAGAGGCAGCCGGCGGGAACGACTTTCCCGATTTTACAAGCTCCTTTGCAGCCACAGCGCTTCTTGCAAGCCCCGCTATCTTTCCATCGTGGAAGAGATCAGGAGAACTCGCAAACACCGCTGCTGGAACCCGAGGAGGAATCTCCCGATGTGAGCCCAACCGGGGGAGGAGGAGGAAGTTCTACGCACAAATGATCTGCCCGAAGAACGTGTCTGATGCTGAACAAATATTCACATCTACTTTCTCGAATGATGGTTCCAAAAACAAGCTGCGAATCCTCTCATAGGAAGGTTTTAAAAAGTCAGGCTACTGAATCATCACAAATTAACCTTATTGTAAAACGTTTTTAGCTGCACGTTACAAGCATCAACTTCCTGAAAATGTTAAAATGGCATGGACTGTGCTGTTATCATCATTAGTTGAAGCGAAAACACGTTATTTCAAACTCAAAGTTTATTCCCTATTTTTATTGATAGCGAGGTTCCGAGTCTAAATTTTGTCTAGCCGCCCAGTTTGTTTAACAAATTGTCGAACAAATTTTACAACTTTGATTTTAGCGTAGAATGTGCAGGATTTTCACACAGGTACTTTGAGACTCCAATGAAGATTTTAGTGTCGTAATAGAACAAAGATACAAACAAGATTGAATTTACATAATTTTAAAGATCGTTTCATCGCTCGGGGTAAATCTATCCTTAAAAATCGAAATCCTGAATCTAGGTTAAACATTACCATATCGTAAACGTGCATGTAAATTTTTTCGTGCGCATCGCACTAGATGCTTTGAGCAAAATTGGAGTTTGATTCTGTCGAATGACTCCACAAATTTCAAAACGAACCAAATCTAACAGAAGTTTCGCCCGGAACTCTATCTTGTGAATTTAATCCATTACGTGGATGTGATAGACGGTCCTCAGAGTAACATTGGGATTGGAATTGATTTATTCGTTATGTTTTGGTAAAACATCAAAGTTCGTGTGTAAGTTTTCACAAAGTTATAAATTATAATGTGACGAGAACGCAGTGTTATTTGCTGGTAGATACGATAACGTAACGTAAAGTTGTCGTCTCTCGATGTAGTTAATGTTACTCGCGAGTCGATATTTAAGTGCATGTTTATACACGTTTCTTTCGTGCTTGTTAATGAATGTTCAGGTGCATGTTATAGGTACGAAACTGCACAAACTCTCCGTCCCTTCTGTTTTTCGTTATATTCTAAGACATCGTCGCATCTTAAAAATACAATAAATTTATCGTGGTCGAAATTGCCATATGAGCGTCCACATTTTTACAATAGAATAGGTAGTCGACAATAATAATTTAAATCTCAGTGAATATTAACGCTATCATCGATCAGAGCGAGATTTAGGTTATTTGTTGTATAAAAATTTTTAACCGTTTCAATTAAATCAATACTGGAATTTAACGTGAAGTCGATGTAATTTCTCGTAGTATTCAAAGATCGCTGTCACTTAACCGTTAATTCGTTTTATTCTTCAATAAATAAGTGCCTTTTAAATAAGTCATTTTACCATGTTTATAATTCTAGCTAACTTAGATGGAATAGTTCTAAATAAAATAATGCCTATCTGAATTTTGCTGTACAAGCTTTTAACCGTTCACAAACTCGTACAAAATTTTGTAGGCGAATAACCCATAGTTTAGCAAACTCCCTCGGCAACATCCACAAGAAATGTTTATTGCTTATGAATGTTGCGGGAAATAATGGGCATAATATTCATTCATTTCTTCATCCGCATCCTTGTCATTACTTTTGATTCAGTTCACGATTCATTAGAGACCTTGTGTTAAAATTTCTCTTCTTCGATGTTCTTTTGAATGGAATTGCTTTAGCCGTCATTCCTGGTCAAACGAAACCTCTTATTGAACCAACTTGAAAAATTGCGAAAATCTTGTAAATTTGCATCGGCAAGATGTGGTCTAAACTCTATGCGTAAAAAATTATATTAGTAACGTTACCCCCAATTTTATAGTAGCTGTTTAAAAAAATATATATATTGTATTCTTTAATGTAAACCCGTCCGTATGCATCTAAAATTGCGAACCGTTGCTAGCAACATGGGATTTCTATGCGTGTTGTAAATGAATTCAAGATCTATGGCAATCCTAGTTGATCTCGTTTAAGACATTGGCAATTTTAAAACTAAAAACTTTTCTTATACATAATTATAATTCATACACTTAGATTTTTTGGAGCCACTGCCTATGCAGGCATATAATAAATATTGCAAGTTATATGACTTATATCATTATAATTTCGAGCGAGCAACATGGATCGATTAATTTCACTTCTAGAAATTGAAATTTCGCTGTAGATTTAGATCCTTTGTGTTGTATGCTCCTGCTTATTAACGCCTAAATTTTCGAAAATTTGGTTATTACTTATTTTTTGTTAGCCTAACCACTGCCTAACGACAGCCAGGTTTGACTTATGTAATGTGAAGCTCTTCTCATGTAATTAATGTGGCTTTCCATAGGACGATGTTGTTACCTACATGTCATCGAACTATAATAGCTGAATGTAGAGAAATTAACATGTGCTGCAATCGAGAATGAGTAATGACTGCCACCGCGTGATGCCACGCAGACATGACTGCCATCGCGTGATGCCATACGGACATGACTGCCATCGCGTGATGCCACGCAGACATGACAATGACTGCCATCGCGTGATGCCACACAGACATGACTGCCATCGCGTGATGCCACGCAGACATGACTGCCATCGCGTGATGCCACGCAGACATGACTGCCACCGCGTGATGCCACGCAGACATGACTGCCATCGCGTGATGCCACGCAGACATGACTGCCATCGCGTGATGCCACGCAGACATGACTGCCATCGTGTGATGCCACACAGACATGACTGCCATCGCGTGATGCCACGCAGACATGAGTGCCATCGCGTGATGCCACGCAGACATGACTGCCATCGCGTGATTTCTATTACCACGATATTAACATTTCACGGCAGTACATTTTTTATTCAATGAAATTTTCCGCTTTTAGATTCATTGGTCAGCGCATATTAAAGAATTTTCAATCCGTCTCTCATTACAAGCGTTTAAAATGGAAGCTCTCAAGACTGATGGAATCTGTTCTTTCATGTGACAGCAAGTCTGTAGGCACACATTTTCTTGACGTAACAGGATAACACAATTTGTAACATGTTACATAATTATCATATTGCACACTCGTTTCCTGTCGGTCAGTGGCTGCAGCTTCAGTTATGTTCGCAAATAACTAATAAATTGTTGTTATGTAGATCAATTATATTATAAGCAGAGCAACGGGGGATGATTTTTAAATTGCATTGCGTCAAATTATATGATTTTTTGACATGACATAAATGAATAATTTCGCCTTAACTCACGTGTCAGTCTAATTTTATTTCCGATCACAATACCTGCCATTTCATCATCATCATTACCTGCTTGCTAACTGTTGCAGAACACTTTGTTAGAGTATAAATATACGTACGAAATAAATTATTCCTTCCCTTCTCATGTCATGAAACATCAGCTAATTAAGCAACGAAGATGAGGGATGGTATTTTTTAACAACATGCAATGAGTATGAAAGCTGAAGCCCAACAAGCAACTCTACATAAACTTGTGCCTGATTTTCTCTTGATTGCATCAGACAAATTATATCCATCGGTGTAACCTCGACAGTAACGGAAATAGCATCAGGGTATCTCCAGAAATTCCGGTAATCAAGATTACAAAACAAGACATGCAGTGCAATTGAAACAAGATTTGTACGGTATTGGACGTTATTTAATAAACTGATTCCTATCGGAAAAATATCGAAACTTGCCTGCCGGTGGTTACATAATTCAAGGTACATACAGTAATGAATGGTAAAATGCTACGTAACACGCCCATCGTTCTCAATACTTGCTAACATATTTAAAACTAATCACTTAAGAATACGATTCTCTTCAGTTTTAACTAATAAGATAACTTCTAATCATGCGCATACGTAAGAAAATAAAATAGATAGTTCGTAGATTTTCGAAAATCTGAAGAAGGATCAGAGGGCAACTTCATAGGACCTAATGAATGAAAAATTATATGTAAATTTAGAATCCAAAAATAAAATTTCACCTCTATTGGAAACACCTGAGCAGGATTCGAAGTAACCGGAGCCTGCCAGTTTTTAAATTTTCAAGTCTACTATGAACGTAGTCAAGATGACTTCATATGACAATTCGGGCGAATTTAAACGTTACTCTTTTGAAGTAGGAACGTGATGCCGGTTCTTCCTACTGATAGTTCGCACCTGTAGGAGACACGACGACAACCAAATTCATGCAGTAACAAGACACTAACAAATGAAAGGTAAGCAGCCAAGATAACATAGTGTATATTTAAGGGCAGATATTTAAACTTAGCAGCTGGACTGCGAAGTAGTTAGCACAATCTTAGCTTAAAATATAATTCATTCTCCTAGATCGTAGTGAATGTTGCACTAAAAAATATCAAAGAATATTGATAAGGATAATATGGAGATGAAATAATAGATAATGCCATCAGCCGAGCAGTTAATTCAAAACGAGCAAAATTTTAGATGGGCGGCCAAACGTAGGAGGCGCTGATAAATATGGTTGTACAATATAGTACAACTGATATAGAACAGAACTAGTCAATAAAGATCTTTAACAGCTTACTGGCGAATAAGACGAACATTACTTACAAACGAATCCTAACCATACATGAAAAATGACAGCCAGAATAAAAATTGTTTAAAAACGAGAGAAGAAGCTTGGACTTGAAATATAATTTAGCGATGGCCGACAATTTCAATCACCATACAAGCGTAGAATTCACATCAGAATATGTACACAGCTGAGCTACTGATCTAAGTCAGAAATTTCAGTCAAGTCAAGCTTCAAAATTTGCTAATAAAATATTTCGTGCAATCGTATCCTGGACCGGAACACAAGCAATTTGCTCCAACATCAATTTCTGAACAAGTCTTTTCAAAAATGTTGATATCGGTTAATTATTTAGGGATATAGGCACTTTAGATAGCTAAACACTGAAAGATTCGTTTAAAAACAAGTAAGTCGATATCTTGAAATCACACGTATGGAAGTCGTACAATGTCATACAGTAAAATTTTCAGACATTTTGAACGGATTTTTCAGAAATGATAAGTTTAGTCTCCACCCCAGAGAGCAGTGATGGTACGGCACCAAAAGCGTTTTTCATCGATTAGAAAAATATCGATTTCTTTTTAGCTTGCTTGGAAGAAAGAAAATGGCGTATGGCTGTGCCGTTGAGACGCCCAGTAAAACTTAGAATAAGTACCATACATTGTACGGCTATGTGAAAATAATCAGGAAGTTGAAGAAACTACAAGGTAAAGAACCAAGAAGAAAGATAAAGGTCACACAACATGGGACATTAATAAAATGAAGTGAGGAAATTCAATTTGATCCGAGATAGAATGAAATTCTAAAATCAGGCACCCAAAAAGAAAAATAAACACAAATCTGCTTCAATATCTGCACAAGATTACAATATTACACCGCTTTCCTGCCCGCTGACAGTAACTTCTTTTGAGATTTCCAACACTGTAGTCAGTTTTTTAAACAGTACATACTGCCTATTTGTACGGAACGTCACATCGAATCCGTACAGATCGCATCGAATTTGTACAGTCCATCACCTTTTATTCCTAATACATCAGTTCGAATTTGTACAGTCCATCACTTAGAAACAAATATGATGATGAGTCAAGCCCAACTCCCCAATCAAATGTTGCACACAAGAACGAGAATGTGACGGCAAATTGGAAATCCTCATCAAATCTGCCCCTGTCTGCGTACAGTAGATGATGCGATTTACATTGCAAATTACATATGGAATCCTGCATGTGTATTTGTTTCGCTAACTCATGGGGGTTTATAATTAATTCATACTTTGAAAGTGAGTGGTGCCGATTAATATTCAAATATCAGATTAATATTTGGTAGATCAATTAACGGTGAGCATAGCATATAAACGACATTGATATCTGATAGGCGTGGCAGATAATTTAAATCGAACATATGAACGGCATTGATATCTGAGAAGTCGTTCAAATAACCGCCACGTAAAGTGAAGCCAAAATTGTCCGGATGTTAACCGGAGACGCTTTGTCAGACACAAACGACGAGGAAAAGTTATGGAGTCTTTATACTTTTGTTGATAGCATGGAGGTTTAGCTGTGCGTGCCCATCTGCTCTATTTTCTGAGGTCCAGAACGAAAACGGAACCATCACTGGCAGACGCGCCCACTTTGTCTCCTCGGGAGTTCCAACAAACCTCAAAAATACCACCAGTGCCTTTGTAGCTGTGCACCAGTTGCCCACTCTGCAAAAAACACATTATATTAGACTATTAAAAAAGGCTTTACAGCTTTGAAAACGATCTTATAGTTGCCAAGATACTAGTCGCGTTATGGGAACTTTATAATTTGATCGCACGTGAATTGAAAGTTTAAGCCTTACCAGCGACAGAAACAGTATAACAAAAAAAAATGACGGCGAATCAAAGCACACATGAAATTTAACTTTGTCAGATCTCTTTAATGTATCGTTAAGTTGCTGAAAACATTCACAAGCTCCATTAGAAATATTTAATCTGATGGAGCTCCTTATGATAAGCAGCCAGGTTTTAGGGCCTAAGACTCCCCTTGTATTCACTTATCAATTTCTGGCATATATAATTGATGCTAACATTCAAATGTATTGATTGCTGAAGCGTCATGAGGAAAGAGTCAATGCACATTGCAGACTCTCATTACTACCCTCAAGCAAAGCCATAAAGGATATGAATCATGCGATAAGCCATCACTTCAGTTATTTCAATATCATGATGCTAATTATTATATTAAATAATATTAATTATACCTACTAATATTACTATCAATCTAAAGTCTAAACTAAGTGTGACCCATGCTGAGCAAAGCTTAAAGGCCACAGGCATATGCATACAGGATATAAGAAACGGAAATATTACTTTATGCTTCTGAATACATGATTATTAATTATGATGACAAAATTAATATTGATCCCTGAATGATGCATGCCCATGCTCAGTGAAGCCTGTAGTCTATGTTTCAAGAAACAATAATGACAATAATAATAAAATAATAATAATAGCAATAATGACAATAATGGGCACACCCATATTATTAGCAATGCGCCATGCAATAATAACAATTGGAGAAGCAACATGACGCCTGAAAGTCTCACCTGAGTAGACCAGATGTGCACGCATTTATCAAAGCTCCCTGACGCCAGAAATTTGCCATCCGGGGAGAACGCCACGCTGTACACGGGCTCTGAGTGCTTCGTCAGGGTGTGGATACAAGCGCCCTTCTCGACGTCCCACAGACGCACCGTCGAGTCAAATGATGCGCTGCACAAATAAAAATGTTGTAGCTCCATGTTATTGTGTCCTTCTGGACGTATTACAGACATACCGTCGAGTCAAATGATGCGCTGCACAAACAAAAATGTTGTAGCTCCATGTTATTGTGTCCTTCTCGACGTCTTACAGACATACCGTCGAGTCAAATGATGCACTGCACAAATATAAATGTTGTAGCTCCATGTTATTGTGTCCTTCTGGACGTATTATAGAAATACCGTCGAGTCAAATGATGCACTGCACAAATAGAAATGTTGTAGCTCCATGTTATTGTGTCCTGGACGTATTACAGACATACAGTCGAGTCAAATGATAGAGTGCTTCGTCAGGGTGTGGATACAAGCGCCCTTCTCGACGTCCCACAGACGCACCGTCGAGTCAAATGATGCGCTGCACAAATAAAAATGTAGTAGCTCCATGTTATTGAGTCCTGCAGGACGTATACAGACATACCGTACCGTCCACTCAAATGATGCACAGTACAAATGACATATTGTGGATACTGCAATGCATTACCTCGCAAGGATGAGGTTCATGTTGGGGTTGTTGGTGCCGGGGCCCGTGGGTGACCACTTGATTGTGTAGATTTCCTTGTTGTGCGCCTGCAGGTCGTGGACGCAAGTGTCTTGACGCATCGACCAGATCTGCAAGACACATCAGTTAGCAGAGCAGGCGAAAAACTATATTCAGCGAGTGCCTAATTGATCGGTAAGATATACCTATGTACAGTAGCAAACTATCTGAAAACATTCATGTATGAAAAAAGAGAATCAAGATTTTGCAAAACTGTCCAAAAGAATACATAACACCTACAGCACAATTTTGCACTTTAATTGGGGCAGTTTTTCACTGTCATCGTTTTGCCCGAGAAACACCCAAATTCTCATAGCTAATCTGAAACAAATCATACCAAACATATCACGTAAAATAATAATAAACAAGTTTCAAGCTTACACTTACTTTCTACAAAGAAACACTATCTCTTTTTGGAAAAGTGTTGAGTTAGCAAGCCATGAAGATGGCTGAGTGTTCTCACCTTGAGCGTCATGTCGTCAGAGCAAGACGCCAGCAGGTTGCCTTGCGGGTCCCATTTGATAGCGTTCACTTCATTGCTGTGGCCCTGCAATACATTTAAATGTTTAAATGTATTGCATTTAAATATTTACATTTAAATATTTATTGTTGATACAATGACAGTTCCCATTGCATTTTCAACCGAGATAAATTTTACTCTATGAATCAATAAAAAAACCTCACTCAAAGCCTGCAGTTTGAATTCCAGTGGCTGTCCCGCCAATATAGTAGTGCATTACCTTGAAGGACTTGATGGGCTTCTCCTGGCCGAGGCTGCACACATGGATGCACTGATCAGTGGAGCAGGAGGCAAAGGACGTGTTGGTCTGCCAGTCCACGTCCAGTGCGGGCGCCGTGTGGAATGCGAACTGCTGACGGGAATGGCCTGAAGACGCATCCCAAATGATGGTCGTCTGCACACACAAACAAGAAGCGGAATGAAATTACCATTATCCTCATTGAAAAGCATTTTTTCTACATATTTTTGTAGTTTTCCTCATTGAACAGCATTTCTTCTACATATTTTAGTAGTTTTCCTCATTGAACAGCATTTCTTCTACATATTTTCGTAGTTTTTCTAATTTTTGTACAGCATTTGTTCTACATATTTTTGTTTTTTTCTCATTTTTGTACATTATTGGGAGAATTGAGAGAAGAAATGTGAAGATCTATTGACAGATCAATCCCCCGACAACAGTCAAAAGACAAGTTACGTTAGTTACAAGGTCAGCATCAGTAGACAAAAGGTTGAAATAAGCTGACCTTATCAACACCAGCTGAGAGGATATAGTTGCCCTTCTTGTTCCACTTGAGGGCAAATATGGGGCCCTTGTGCTGCCCAAGTGTCGACGCCTGACGTCCGTTGTTGGTCCAGATGCGAGCATATCCGTCATATGAGCCGGTGGCCAGCAAGGTTCCATCGCACTGACACATAATTACAATTATTCACAAAATTTATCATTGAAAACATTATTTAATGAATGAAAATTAATTTCCTTGCTCCACAAACAAATATTTAAAGCTTATTTAACGAAAATATTCATTATATTGGTGATACACACACATAAGCTTAAAATTGTAGTTTCTTATATAATGTGCTATTCCAAACTAAAGCTAAAGAAACGCTCAATGGTCACACCAGTTAGCAGTTCTGTAAAAATACTCAAATAATTAGCTTTAACTAAACAATCTCTCCTTACAAAACCTACCTATCGTTACCATAAATGTTTGAAAACCTATTTTGAATGTTTTTTTGAATTTTTTCCATAAGATCAAAAAGGTTTCAAGATTTTTGTCGTACATGCAATCAAATTTTGAACATACAAATAATCTTCACCTCAAGATTCTGAACATAGAAATAACCTTTACCTCAAGATTCTGAACATACAAATAACCTTTACTTCAAGATTCTGAACATACAAATAACCTTTACCTCAAGATTCTGAACATACAAATAACCTTTACTTCAAGATTCTGAACATACAAATAACCTTTACCTCAAGATTCTGAACATACAAATAACCTTCACCTCAAGATTCTGAACATACAAATAATCTTTTCCTCAAAATTTTGAACATACAAATATAACATTTTCCTCAAGATTCTGAACATACAAATGAATTTTTCCTCAAGATTCTGAACATGCAAATGAATTTTTCCTCAAGATTTTGAACATACAAATAACCTTTTCCTCAACATTCTGAACATACAAATGAATTTTTCTCCAGGCAAGGAGCTGTTGCCAACATCTGATGGAGACGGCAGGTCTGATGCACTCAAGTTCCAAATGCGGGCTGTGCTGTCGCCAGATCTGCAAGTCACAAGGCATTCAGAATCTTATATTTAAATATTCAATTCAGTTTCATAATTTTGAAGCTTCATATGTATTCTTAGAGTTTGCAAGTATTTCTATAGTTTGATTCAATAAAATTCTTGCAACCTGATATGAGCAAAAGAACATTGAAATGTTGTCATAATTTCATAAGTGCATATACCAACTTCGAATTTATTCAGCTATTTTTGTCATCAGTTTAAATTTTAAATAAACACTTGACTAATTTCAAAGATATCAATTCACACTTAGCATGGGTTTGACGCATTGCATTTGATTAACAATATAACAATCATTTTTTCATACAAATGAGTACAATGGAAGCAAAGTTTACTCTTTTCGTTCTTAAATTATTAAAATAACTTGATTGCTTAAATAGCAAACTAACAATGAATTTAAAAGCAAAAAAGATGAAAGAACTTACTGAGCATAAAGGAAGAGGTTACTAAACAGGAAATTTACTTGCACATCGCCGGTATTAAGCAGCTCTTATTCATGCCAAGCAGTGTAATGTTTCGGTGACAGACGGTGACACACATTTTTCTTTATAAAAATATGATGAATTTCAGTGTCATCTTCTTTGTTTTCAAATTCATTGTTACTTACTTCTTCACTTTAGGCAGAATATTTTTAAAATAAATCAACAAAATCAACAACTTTCTCTCTCTCACCCCGAAGCAAGAAGATCAGTTGTGGGGTTCCAGGCGCAGATAAAAACTTCACTTTCATGGCCGCGTAAAATAGTGGCTTTTGTGACTGGAATCTCGACGCTGCTATCCACATCCATGCTTTCAACGCCACTGCCACCTGATCCACCGCTGCCACTGCCTGCCACGCACCCAACGCCGCCACCGGTGGTATTGCCTGTGCCACCAGAACTGCCACTGCCTGATACTGCTGTGCAGAGTTTGCATTACTGCAGCACTTTGCAATCCTGTGCAATGCCAGTCTCTTATACACATCTAGATGTGTATAAGAGACAGGCTCCATGTTATTGTGTCCTTCTGGACGTATTACAGACATACCGNTTGCAAAGCACAGCATTGCTACATTGCAAAGCACAGCATTGCTACATTGCAAAGCACAGCATTGCTACATTGCAAAGCACAGCATTGCTTTCTTAACACATTGACTCCAATTTTTGTATTATTATTTCATTTTTGTACTATTTTGAAACACACAAATTGTGGATTTATATTGATTTTCATTGGTCCTAAGTATTCTGCTAGTGGAATAATATGTATAACGAATGTGTTAATAAATCCAACCTGGTATGGCAAAATCTATTTTGAAAAAAGTGTCGAAATAAATTAAATAATTGAAATGGGACACAGTATAGGTATGTAGTGTAGTATTATGTACCGCTACATCCTGGAGAATTGCAATTCTTTGTACATTTATGTACCCCTTCTGAATCAAAGTGTTAAAAAGCATGGATAGGCATTAAAAATCCCAGAGGAGCCTCTTGCAAAGCACAGCATTGCATGATTTCAACACGCAGCATTAGGTACTATTACTGTGAAGTTCAGTATTATATCACTCTGAAGTACAGCACTACACTATAGTAGAACACAGAATTAGAATAGTACATAGTGAAAAGCATGGAATTGTAATTTTTACATTGCCAGCTTTGCCTGTTAGCAGATCACTACTTCATTCTTAGCAATACAACTGCGGTTTGCAAAGTCAAATGGCTTTTCTTTAGTATTTCTACCTTAAGTGATCACTTTCTTTTGCTTAATCTGAATATGAAGGAAAGTAAATATTCCAAAATTACATCAATCACCTGCTCATACTAGAGAATTCTATACAATGTACGTTATATATACTGAAGTGAACTCTAGACAGCTATAGGTAGTTTATCAGAAGAAAATTGAACTCACCATCATCACCATTTGCTGTCTGAATTTCAGTTTTCACCACAGGTCTCTGATGTTGGTGCTGCTGATTGCTGTTATTATTGTTGGAATTTTGTTGTTGATCTTGCTGCTGCTGTTGTTGGTTGCTTATAACATTTGGCATGACAGCATCAATGAGAGACAAACTTTCAATGCTTCTTTCTGTTCCATCCTGCAACCATAGAGAAAAATTAGAAAATTCAATAATTTATTCATCATTAATTCATAACACCTAACACTTTTTCAGGTAGCTGAAAATAACTGGAACCCACAAGTAAAAAGACATTGTTATAAATTAGATGCTAGAAGTTTTTTCCAATTATTTTTGATTGACAACTAGGTACTGTAAAATGGGGTAACTTAGACTCCCAGGGTAACTTAGACCACTTTTAGTTTTTTTACCAAAAACCCCCAAAACTCAAAAACTATTTGACATAGAAAAATTTTCTCAATGGGCATTAAAGGCCTAATACTGAGGCTACGTAACACAATAGAAAGATAAAAAAATTATGCTTATCTAATAGGTTAAAAAATGAAAAATGTGACCCACGAAAAAGAGCTATTATTTAAAGCCTGTCATAGAACCCCCTCCAATTTTTTTATTTTTTTGGTAAAATAATTCAAGGTTTTGATGCATTGTAGTGAAACTCTTCTAGTTACATATGCAAATGACAAATTTTAGGAAAGTGTCATAGTTTGCAAATGGGGGGTGCCGCCCCCAAATGGGGTAACTTGGACCACCTAATGTCAGCACTGATGGGGTAACATAGACTGGCTTGGAAATTAATTTAAAATTACCATATATAACATACCGTAAAATGGGGTAACTTAGACCACTTTTTTTTATAATTCGCGAGTTATACAGATATAGGAGGAACGACCGGCTTTTCTACCGGCTGGTTTAACCATGAGCCGTTTACGTATAGCCATATAACTCGCAAAAGAAAGCAAAACGAAAAAATTATAACAAGCTAAGCATCACCGTTGCTGAGGTTAGGTATTAAAATACTAGACTTCGTCCAAATCTGTTCAGTACTTTGGAGAAATTTCTTGATTACTGAAATTTTTGCACGTATTACTGTTTAAATCACGAATTAAACTCGCGAACGAAGGAACAATAAAAAAAATTTTTCACGAGCTAAACATCACCGATCAGTAGTTAGGACTATAAATTCAAAATTTCGTTTGAATCTGTTCAGTAGTTTGGAAGAAATTCCTCGATCGCTGTGAATTTCGGCCCGTATTGCCATATAAGTATGGCAAAACAATTAAAGGCAAAATTCAAAAAAATTTTACAAACTTTAAATTACCGTTAGGTCTTAATGAATACGTGTACCAAGTTTCATCGAGTTACGTTCATTAGTTCGAGAGATATTCCTTGATCATTGAATTTGGATATTGGCCGTGAGACCGGCCGCGAGTCCGGCCGTTAATTTGTCGGAGACCTAAACCCAGGAGAGGTTAAAAAAATATAACTCAGCACTCACAGCAATGAGTAACAGAAAGTGCATTTTCTCGTCGACGAAAACGTGAAGTCATGGACGGCAGACAGACGGACGGACATGGCGAGCACAATAGTGCATTTTTTCCATAAATGAGAAAATGCGCTAAAAAACAGATCTGGGTGACAAAACCATCGCTGGGAGTCATGTGCTGCACGTGTTGTGTACAAGTCATCAAACAAACGTTCGAACTTCTGACATTGACTTCGGACTACTGCCCCCCCTATCGCCCCCCTACCACCTTCTTCTTTCTTACCGCCCCCCAAAACCTTTCCACCGCCCCTAGGGGGCGATATCGCCCACTTTGGGAACCACTGATTTAACCAAATACTGAGAGTCTCGTAACCTAAAAACAACCTGATTACAAGAAGAAACTTTTAAAGTTTCAATTATTAACTATCAATACCATGAAACTTGAGCAAAACTCAGTTTTCCTTTGAAGTGCTAATGATTCAATACCTATTGTAACAAGCATTTGGCCAGTCTTGTGAAGACACTGCATAACAATCTTATATTTTCTGATGTGCCTAATCACACCTTTATGGTGACTTCCCACAGCATCAACAACTGATGTTATCACACAGTTACACATACTTCATACAACATCAACCATCAGAAACCTTGCCAACACTTATCTCAACTACAGTATAAAGCAGATCTTCTGGATTAATAATCCTAACAAATAGTGATAGGAAACCTAAGATTATTTGCTATTGCAGGGTGCATACTGGTCATGGAAAACCTGGGAAGTGGTATACGAGTCAGGAAAATTACAAGTCATATACGAGTGGAAAATTGCGAGTTGTCTATGAGTCTGGAAAATTGCGAGTCATCTATGAGTCACTTGTATACGACTCACAATTTTCCAAACTCGTATACGACTCACAATTTTCCAAACTCGTATACAACTTTCCAGGTTTTCCAGGACTGGTATGCACCCTGTATTGGATTGAGATATTTATTATACATATATTTACTTCTCATAGCATCAACTATTTGACACATACTTCACCAACACTGATCTCCACTTCTGTGTAAAGCAGGCCCTTCTGGATGATATTAACAAGTGCAGCTGGAGGCACCAAAGCTCCGTTGATGTTGGACTGTGATATGTGCGACTCCAAGCCAAAGGTGTAAGCTGCATGAACAAAGCCTGGGAAGATTCAATGAAAATTAATTTAAATGTTTCAGGTTAAAATGAAGGATATATCAATCCAGACAATCATTAATCATTACTATCAATAGCAAGAGCACCAAAATCAAGAATATACATTTTTGCTACAAATATGAAGCAAAATGGTAAATTTCACATTCATCAAACATAAATAATAGAATATAATTCTAATGCAGCTCAATAGATATGGAAAGCATATGAGAATTAAGATCACTTGATTGCTTAAATTGCAAATTCATCAAGAATTTAAAAGCAAGCAACAGACAAAAAGTTCACCATTTCTTATAAGAGAAAACCTTTTGGAGTCCAGCTCCATCCTCCATTGTCAGTTCAAAAACATATGTATGGTACTAACAATTAGAAAAATAATAATTCACATTGAAGATTTTAAAACTCAAATTGCAAAATGAAAACAAATAAAAATGAAGCAAACATCAAACATAAGAACACAAATCTATTCATTTACACCTTTTTCATCAGGATGCATTGTTTGGGAATACTAATTTCAATGTGGATTAATAGTTTAAAAATTGTTGGTAGGTCCTTAGTTTGCAGTTCTGGGATTTTGACAATGAAGCTGAACACAAAAACATACGCACAGTGAATTTTTGGCTTATTTCTTTGCTTTTAAATTCTTGAGAAAATATTTTTTAAAAATATTTGTCTATTAAAATTGCAATTTTTGTTGCTCAAGCTTAAAAGAAAATGTATAGTAATTACAAATTCAAAAATTCATTGAAAGCTCATACTTTTAAGCTTTGTAGTTTGTACTGTTCTAAAAAAATTTTAGCAAACTACTTACCCGATTCTTGGAGATAACGATAAACAAGAAAATTTACTTCATCACTGGTGAAACTCATTTTTGCAGCAAAGTAAGACTTTCAAATCACAAAATTGTAATGCTTAAATAACTACTCCAAGTTTCCAACCATCAACCAATTAGGCTAAAGTACTAAACAAAATTGTTATGCAAAAGGAATGGTCGGCATGAAAACTGTCCTAACTTTCAGTTCTAAGTTTAAAATGTACCAAAGAATCCATACCCCATACTTATTACAGTTTTTTCTGGAAAGTGGAAACAAAAAAAGTCATCAATTTAGAAGTGCTAAACCTAAATGCTTTAATTCTAGAATAGCAGTTGCAACATTTTTACAGGGCATTAGCTTGAGCCCTGATTAGGGCCTACTGTCCATACGTCTACACTCTAGCGACTCTACAGGCTACAAAACACGTTATAGTCAAATGGGGTAAGACAGGATCGCAGCCTTCATGGGGTAAGAAAGGACCAGCCCATGGCGTACATTCTAATTGCACTGAATTTATTTTGACAAAAGAATATGTTAGAGCAATCATTTCCTTTCATTTCAGTGTTTGTTTCAATCCTCTTCTGCATATAATGAATTTCTGGTTAATTTTTAAAGAAAACCTATGTAAAGAAGGGTTACAAAATAGTTAAACCTTTTTGGGAAATAAGCTCTGTCTAATGACAAAAAAAATTTTTGGCCAGGTTTGTGGATGTAGGCAGGTAACCTCAAGTAATAAGCAACTTTTTAGACATAAGGCTACTAGGCATTCCTACCTGCTAGGCTGCTACCATCACTGCCTGACATGTATTCTAAAATGGGGTAAAAAAGGACTGGACATGGGGTAAGATGGGACCACTAAATGATCCTGTTTTACCCCACAAGTGGTCCTATCTTCCCCACCAATGGTTCTCTCTTACCCCATAGTTTATCAAAAATAGCATTTAAATGAATATATTATTGTGCAGTACGTGGAGTATTTTGGTCAAAATTTTTATCTTTTGCTCAAACTTCATTATAACTTGTTAGCTCTTTTAATTAGAGAAATTTAGTGCATTATTTTAAATTGTATCAAAGGGATATAGAAAATTTGGATGTCCATTCCCATTAGTGAGCTGCAGAACTAGTATGTGACTATGTGCCATGGTCAGGAAGATGTGCCAGGTGCGTGGGAATTTATATTGTTATTTTAACAACCTGCGCGGTGCGCCGTACTATGCCGGTAAAAAAATTCGCCGTGCGCCGTACTTTTAGAAAGCTAAAATAGTTTAAATATGGACGCGCAGCAACGCAAATTACGTAATCACACTGACCGTACACACAAACGTGTATCCGCATTGTGTTGTGGTTGGATATGAGTTGCCTAGATTGCTAACGCGT